GCCCGGCTCCAATATGACATTTTCTAAATCTATCCATTTGCCCACAAATTTTAGGATGTCATTATTTTTTTCCACTGTGTAGTACTCTATTGTGTAAGTGAACCACTTCATCTTTATACATCTTTAAAATTTTAAAATGACTGTACCAGCTTAGAGATTTAAAATTATATCTTTGAGTCATATATTCTACTATTCACTGCAGTCCCAAGACAAGGAATTGCACCGCGGACTATGGTTTCTGCCTTCAAAGAAGACTAGGGAGAAACATGTATTGTTCACATTGAAGAGGGAGACAGGGTAGGCAATCAGCTGCTAGAGTCACCATTATGGAAAAGGACCTAATTGTGGCAGAAAGAGGTGATTTTGTATTAATTCATATCATATTAATGAAGACAAACCAGACTGCTGGATATATACTTTAAGAAGGTTAGTTTGAGTCATGGAACATTGAGTTTGCAATTAGGGACCTTTCCTATGCATATGTGTTCAGTCCTGCTTGGCACAGTTAAGAAAACTCAGAGGTTTGAGAAACAGGCCATTCATTGCCTGTAACTCTTTTACAGATTTCAGTAGTTAACATTCATTGTTTGATTTCTTTTTCTCAAGTGCTGTTGCTTTTTATTTCTGTTTGGAGCAATATCTCCTGTAGCTAAGGCTTGCCTAAAATATATAAATAAAATTGCTTTGAACACATAATCCTGCTACCTTTTCCATGATTGACCTTGAACTGGTCAGCAAGAAGGAAAAGAAATCTATGAACAAGTTTTCTCCAGTCTTTCTGGCTTTTATTGGAAACATCCAAAAGAAGAGGGTGTGTGCCAGTACTGAGTTCATGGGCCAACATTGAACCTGGTATAGTAACAGTGAAGAAGGGAGAGGCAGGAAGGGAGGTGAGGGGCTTACTGCTTTGACAATAATATCACCACTGTGGAATTATGCAGTATATTTTAGATGATCAGCAAATGTTCTCACTGACCATTTCATGAGGTCCACACACCAGGGCATCCAAAAATCTGATCTTATCGTAACATCAAATTACTGCAGTATTCCAAGTTCAACCAAAATAGAACACCTGGGTAAAATGGTGTGGCCCTGCCTCAAAAACTTATTTTTCCCAGTGTAAGATGTTCTGCAGGATAGAAATGGTGTCTGATATCCTGAGGCCCAGATGGATGTCCCCCACTGCTGTGGGACCCTAGGGCGGCTTAGCAATCAAGCAATCAGGAGCATCAATGGGAGGTGGCTTGCAGATTCTGTTTAGTGATCTCCTCTGACACTGTTCTAGAGAGCTATGAGGGAGACCACAAGCCATGCCTTGGTGAGTATATTGTCTTCACTGTCATAGGGGAGGAGGTGCAATTTTGAAAAGCTGTTACTGCTGCTGGCAGTTGGTTGAAACATGAGTCTGACTGTGTTTGTGTATGTGTGTGTGTGGTGAATTTTTTTACCTGGACAAAACTATCCTTTGACTCTGAGCCATGCTGAATTTGGATTCCCTATGGAGAGGGAGGTTCTAGAGCCCTAGCTATCAGAGGCTACGATTCATATAATAACACTGCCTAGTATGCACACGGAGGCATTTCTTTTGGTGTACAATCGGGAGACAGATTGGAAAGCTGAAGCTCTGGTTTATAGACGTTCTGAATCCATTCCTCTTTCATCTTTCTCTTTAAATGTTACAGATAGGCTTGTCACCTTTCCAAATAATTGGGTCTACATTGAGTGAAGGCTTTTCAGTGACTCCTCCTAGAAGTACCCTAATTTTGCTAGGGGAGGCTTTTGCTAAGTCTATAAGATTACTACTTACCTCATTCTCTTTGCCCAACCCTTGATTGGACAACAACCCTTGCTTGAACATTTAATTAGCCATGACTGTGTTGTGGCTATATAAGTATACACCCATTTGGGTCATAATGTTTGCTCCCACAATTTGCAGGTAAAGAGGAATAATGTACAGCTGAGAAGTTCCTTTGTGGCCCTCTTCATATCTCCAGTAAAGCTTAGTGCTTCTTTGTGTTCAGGATTTTGGGTTTGATCAATCCTTGTAACTGAGTAATAGTCTCCATTTTAGGCCACTTTGAAGGTCATTGAGAGGCAGTTAAAATATCTGCACCAGTATCCTGAAGACCAAAAAGCTCTTTTCTTTTGTGAACAAAGTGAGTTCTGTTCACTGTGGACCTATGACTTTTAGCCAATAACATCAGATGAACCAAATCCAGCTTCTCCTCTCTCTTATATTTCTAGTTTGTACTTTATTAAGTAAAATTAATTTTGTAAGTCTCTGTCTTGTATTTACCATGGATATTCCATTAGGTGAGTGAGTCATGAAGTTGATTGCTCCTTCAAAGTCAGCATCAATCACTCCTGGAAAATTTTGATTGACTGTCCTACTATGTATTGGGAAGGTTATGCAGTTGCTTTTCTTTGTGTCCTATTTGTCCAGTTTGGATAGTGTATTACGAGAAGTTGATGCAAGGGCAGTTTCTTGTCCAAATAGCTAGCATTTTCCACAAAGAAAAAGAATTCCATATGGAGTTTCTTCAATATCCATCATCCATATATTTGTATAAATATAAAATATACCACTGCAAAATGTTTAATGTTAATAGTTTTTTAGAAAATTGATTTAATAATTTACCTTTAATCATCTCATTTTTATATCATAACCCCCTTTTCTCCTTTAGAAAGAGATTTCTGAATTTAATCTCCCTTGATTGGCTTTTTTCCTGATCATTACCAATAACAACTTGTAATTTACTCCTCCTATGTGATAATATAAACATCTATAAACTATGTTTTAGGAGACTGGACATCGTTCTCTAGACTACTTACTGTTTGTCAACACTGAGATATTTGAGAGAACTTAAAAAAATCATATTCATTGTTAGGTTTTGACTGCAGGATTTTGTGAGGCTGGACGTTCTTATGTAGTACCCTTGAAGATGTTTTGGATGTAGAACCTACCAACTTCAGCAGAGGCATTTTGAGATGTTGGATCATCTTGGCCATTCATTTTAATTGGTGTTTGGTCTCTTTGTTCTGAAAATACATAAACTTTTAAAGATAACATACATTACATATATGAAATATAGGCTTGAACAGTCAGTTAAAGATTTTTTTCTATTTAAGTAAGTAAAATATATGTTATATGTTTCCTATTATTTTTGTGTTTTATATTTCTTTTAGGGAAGGTCTCTTCCCATTCAGTAGGCTGCCTTTTTGTCTTATTGATTGTGCCCTTTGCTTTACAGAAGCTTTTCAGTTTCAGGAGGTCCCATTTATTTATTGTTGTTCTCCATGTCTGTGCTACTGGAGTAATATTTAGGAAGCGGTCTCCTGTGCCCATGTATTGAAGGCTACTTCCCACTTTCTCTTCTATCAGGTTCCATGTGGTTGAATTTATATTGAGGTCTTTAATCGATTTGAACTTGAGTTTAGTGGATGGGGATAGATATGGATCTATTTTCATTCTTCTACATGTTGACATTCAATTATCCATCATCCTCATAAAGTTATGTTTAAACTTGCTTTCTTCTGCCTCTTTTGCCTTAGGATGATCAAGTCTTCCTGTGTTATGACCACTGCTTTCTGGTGGTACAATGTTGCTTTTCATGTTGTTGAATGTATTCTTGCATTGGCACCTACCTCCTCCAATTGATACCGCCATTGCCACTGCTTCTTGATCCTATTTTTCCAGTGGCTCTCTGTGTGTTTACGTACAGTTCTTGGTCAGCTCTTTAGTGTCACTGTGTCTCAGGTAGGCACTGAGCTCTCTTGGCCTGCTCTCTGAGTCTTCTCTCTTGGTTAGCTCTGTTCGTGCACTCTGTGCAGTCACAGCCTGTACTTCAGAGTTCCTCTCTTGGTCCACTCTGTGTAGTTGCAGCTTGTTTTTCAGAGGCTGTGGCAGATTGTGGGGTGGGGGGGTTGGAGCAGCCTCCCTGTGAGAAGCTTGCCTCCTGGCAGGCTAGAGAAGATGAGGCAGGTGGGGCAGGGACCCAGGGTTTTGACCTGGTATGGAGGGCATAGAGAGTGGGGTGCCCCACTGGGTGGGTGGTTCCTCACATCTTGGTCTCTGTGCTTATTTGCAGCCTGTGTTTCATAGTTCCTCTGAGGTCATGGGGGAAAGGGGGTTTGGAACAAAGTGGGACTTGTACCTTACAGGATCCGATCTATGGGCTGAGGCTCTTGGAGCAGCCTACATGAAGGGAACTTACCTGTTGGCTGGCTAGAGAAGATAGGTGGGCGAGGGGCCGTAGTTTGCCCCAGTATAGAGGGCCTAGAGAGTGGGGTGTTCTGCTTGGTGGGTAGTCACTCACCTCTTGGTCCTCTTGTGAATTTGCAGCCTCAATAGCTAGCTCTTAAATTTAATTAATACATATTTCTTATATCTGCTTTTCCATGTCATTTGGTATCTTTTCTAACTCCAGCATGTTCCTCATGCTTCTCTCTGCATCTCTGGTGACCATCCTCTGATTGTGCCTCCATCTTCCTTTCTGCCAGTATCCTATCAGTCTGGTTTTCTCACCTCACCTCTTCCTGCTCAGCTGTAGATCAGTGAGATCTTTATTCACCACATTCAGGGATTAATACATATTCATAGTGTATAAAAAGTTTGTTCCACAGCAGAAATGCACAGGCCTGTGCCTCCTGAGTGCTGGATTAGAGACATGAACCAATACAACCACCTTGCTCATCTTTTTCCTATGATTTCTCTAGTGTGTGATCGGTATTGTTGTTCTGTTTGCTTGTCACTCTCTTTATGTCACTTAATAATCATTTCTCCTGCAAGACTATATCCTATTCTAGATATGCAGAAATGACAAGTGAATCTCACTCAGCTTCTTTCACAATAACGTTGTGATGCATTAGAACGTCTATGTCAGGGAATAAGAGTGAGAAACAGCAGAATTACATAAATATATTTTTGAAGAAGTATACATTTACAGTGTGGTCAGTATGATGCTTTTGCTTTTACCCCTATTTATAAATGGTCATTTTAGAATGCAGTGACATATGATGATGTATATATACATTTCACTTCGGAAGAATGGGCTTTGCTGGACCCTCCCCAGAAAAATCTTTACAAAGACGTGATGCTGGAGACCTACAGGAACCTCACTGCTATAGGTAAGACTGTGAATTTTACTTCATTTTTTAAATAAGGGGACAATTCTTTCTTGCCAAGTGATTTTTTTTTTTTTTGTTTGCACTTTTGATTGCAAAAGTGGGAGAATGGCGGTAATAAATCAGTCATGGTCCTAAGGTAAACTGAAGATATTATTTTAAATTTTGCAGTATTTCTGAAATATTTCATATATTTTCTGGTATTGTATTTTAGCCAACAATTGGGAAGACCATCATATTGAAGAACCTGATCAAATTTCTCCACAACATGGAAGGTAATCTTCGTGTACAGTCACTCACAAATGTGTCTCTGAGGAAATTTTAATGTGTCCTGGAAGTTTTAAGTAGATGCAATAGTATAACAAGCATAGATTTATTTATTTACAGCATATAGATATCAATAGATATCTAATTAGCACCTAACCATGCCCCTTCATGTAAGGTAATGAATGAATTCATGTTAGCAATGCATTCCTCTTAGAAAGAAGAGAAGAAAGCAATGTCTTAACAGATATCACCATTTGAATCATAGCTCCATTAGAGCTATGCCACTGAACTTCCGATCCATTTAGTTTTATAGCACACAGACATTTTGCAATGTGCACACAATGAATAGGTGATGATTATATACTCAATGTTCAAAATCTTCTAATAACCAAAGAGTGCAGAGTAAACTTGTGTTACTCATATGCATTTAAAGACTTCACTAAGCTTATCAAGATGGGCAGTTTCTGAGAGTCAAAAATATTGTTCTTGACAAAAATCTAATCCCTATACCACAAGTCTGTGGGGAGCAAATATCAAACTGACTGGATGTGATATGGAAAACTTTTGTTTCCTTTACTAGGTATATCATATGTTACAGTAGATACAAGCCATGTGAGCATAGGGAGATGGAAAGAGGCAAAGTTTAAAAAATGTAGGAGTCCCTATTTTGAGTAAACTTTCTGAATAATAAGTATACAGCTCACAGTTAATTGCCTTTCCAACTTCATTGGGGATTCATCAGCAAACTCATGTTTCAGAAAATGCCAGTGAGTACTAGGAATGTGGAAATTCTTCTGTTTGCTCCTGTTCACTTTACAAATGTAATATGACTCACGGAGTCAGATAATTTATGAATGCAACCAGTATGGTGAACTTTGAGTTCTTACTGTTCTCTTCAAATACGTGTAAAAACCTCATAGAAAAAGAATACTATATATGTGAGTATCTTATTTAGGTCATCTGTCGTTGCTGTCACTGGACGGTATTACGATGGTAACTCCACTTTATTTTATTTTTTGAGACATGCTTTCTCTGTGTAACAGCACTAGCTGTCCTGGAACTAGCTCTTATGCAACAGGCTGGCATTGAACTTGCAGAGATCTGCCTGCGTCTGCTTCGTGAGAACTGGGATTAAAGGCGTGCACCGCCACTGCCTGGTCAGACCACAGTAACTCTTATAAATGAAATCATGTAATTGGGACTGGTTAAGAGTTCGAAAGATTTAGTCTATTATCATAATGACAAGAAACATGGTGGCATGCAGGCATACGTGATGCTGGAGAGGTAGATGTGCATTCTACATCCTTGTCTACAGGCTGCAGAAGGAGACTGTGCGACACCCCAGGCATAGCTTGAACCTAGAGCACTTCAAGGCTTACCTTAAGAGTGATGCACTTCCTCCAACAAGATCACACCTGCTCCAACAAGGCCACATGCATTATCTAATAGTACAAATACCTATGGACCAAACATTCCAATACTAGAGTCTACATCAGTAAGTTGTGTTAGTAAAGACTCCTACCATCACAGGTATTTTTAAAGATGCAAAACAACCCATAATAAAGGGGAACACAGTGGGTGTAAACAAAGTGAAAACTTTAAGATCAATTCTTCTTTAAAATTAGACCAAATTGTAAAGTGAATTCATATGGTAAAATTATTCATTATTCATCAGTTTATTAATTGTGATAAAGCATTTTCATGTAACAATTATCTTTGCAGGCATGAAGAAATTTGTACTGGAGAGGAACTCTCTCAGGATATTCAGTGTGATAAAGTCTTTACATGTCACAGTTATCTCGGAAGGCAGAAGAGAAAACATGCTGAAGAAAAACCTTATGAATGCACTCACTGTGGTAAAGGCTTTGCTAATCACTCTTATCTTAAAATACATAAAAGAACACATACTGGACAGAAACCCTACAAATGTAATCAGTGTGATAAAGCCTTTGCACAACAAAGTTATCTCCGAGTACACAAAAGAAAACATAGTGGAGAGAAACCTTATAAATGTAATCATTGTGGTAAAGCCTTTGCATATTCTAGTAGTCTCCAAACACATGAAAGAACACATACTGGAGAGAAACCCTACAAATGTAATCAATGTGATAAAGCCTTTGCTCAATACAATAGTCTTCAATACCATAAGAGAATACATACTAAAGAGAAATCCTACAAATGTTATCAGTGTGGTAAAGCATTTGCACAGCACATTTGTCTTCATTACCATAAAAGAACACATACTAGTGAGAAACCCCACAAATGTAATCAATGTGATAAAGCCTTTGCACAATACAGTAGTCTTCAACAGCATAAAAGAACACATTCTGGAGAGAAACCTTATGAATGTACTCAATGTGGAAAAGGCTTTGCAAATCCTAGTTATCTGAAAATACATAAGAGAACACATACTGGAGAGAAACCTTACAAATGTAATCACTGCGATAAAGCCTTTGCCTATTGCAATAATATCATAAAACATGAAAGAACACATACTGGAGAGAAACCTTACAAATGTAATCAATGTGATAAAGCCTTCACACAACATGGTAGTCTTCAGAAACATAAAAGAACACATTCAGGAGAGAAACCTTATGAATGTATTCAGTGTGGTAAAGCCTTTGCCACACACTGGTATCTTCAAATACATGCAAGAACCCATACTGGAAAGAAACCCTACAAATGTAATCACTGTGATAAAGCCTTTGCACAACGGAATTATCTCCGAGTACATGAAAGAACACATATAGGAGAGAAACCTTATGAATGTATTCAATGTGGTAAAGGCTTTGCCACACACAGTCATCTTCAATTACATGAAAGAACACATACTGGAGAGAAACCCTACAAATGTAATCAATGTGATAAAGACTTTCCATATCACAATAGTCTTCAACGTCATAAAAGATCACACACTGGAGAGAAGCCTTATAAATGTAATCAATGTGATAAAGCCTTTGCACATCACAATAGTCTTCAATACCATAAAAGAACACATAGTGGAGAGAAACAAATGTAATCAATGTGAGAAAGCCTTTGTAAATCACAATAGTCTTCAATGTCATAAAAGAACACATAGTGGGGAAAAGCCCTATGAATGTAATCAATGTGATAAAGCCTTTTCATGAAATCATGCCTTCTAAGTCAAAAAATTCATTCTGAAGAAAAAACATAATAATATAATCAATGTAGTAAAGCCTATCAAAATGACCTGTAAAAGTATGAAAAAGTTCATACCTGAGAAATACTATGTAAATATACTTAAATACCAAATACTTCAATTGTGGTTGTGGTTTGTATTGTGTGTATACAAATCAGGATTTTCATCTATTTGGGAGAAGTGTTACAAAAATAAGTAACAAGTAATCAATGTTATAATCATAACATAGCCTGATGTGCTATGGATATGTGTGTATTGTGTTCCATGCTTCTTCATGTCCCTTTAGTTATCTGTCACTTCATCTTGAAGTACTGCCTTCTAAAGATGCCAGATAATTTAATGGCAATGAGATTTATTTTTAAAAAAGCAAAAATATTTCTGTTGTATGTGTCTGTAATATGATCAGGGGATCTGTAGCCCTAGCAGATCTGTTTAGCGTGGAGGACAACTTTGAGGGACCTACTGTTGCCATCTTCATATGCTGATATGGTCAGGTTCCAGCTTTGTACACCACAGACATGCCCTACTGAGCTGTCTCACTGATGCTCAAGTAAGATTAGTTGAAATCTTGTACAGTAAAATATTTTTTTCAGATTGTAATAATATTGTCATCTAATGATGGAGGAAAACAGGACAATTTGAGTAATAAACCATATTTGTAAATAAACATACTATACTGCTGTCTTTTTTTTATCATGTTAGTTTATTTTGAAGATTAAACACCTCTTCTTAACCCTTTCTCAGAACCACAAATGAGTACCAGAGAATTGTCTCAGTAAGTATAATTGGTTGCTGCTAATCCTAATGATCTGGGCTCAAATGTCTGGGGGACCCATATTACTCCAACAAATATTTTCTTTTCTTTTTTTTTTCTTTTTCTTTTTCTTTTTTTTTTTTTGGTTTTTCGAGACAGGGTTTCTCTGTGGTTTTGGAGCCTGTCCTGGAACTAGCTCTTGTAGACCAGGCTGGTCTCGAACTCACAGAGATCTGCCTGCCTCTGCCTCCCAAGTGCTGGGATTAAAGGCGTGTGCCACCACCGCCCGGCCAACAAATATTTTCTTATTTCTACACATGGAGTGTGGCATAGGAACACTCAGGCATCAGTACATACATAGTTTTGAAACCTGTGGAAGCCCAAAAATGTGAGCCTATTCCACCTTTTCTGTAGGTCAATAGTTTGAGATTGATCAAAGTTATTGACAGCTATGGCTACACACCCTGACCTAGGATGTGGTTATTTTGTAATTTGGACATTAAGATGGCCCATAGAGGTGTATCCTCTCCACCTTGACCAAAGGTCTGAGAATTCAAGTTTAAGTATATTTTTGCTCCTTTTTTTGAATAAGGAGGTTTGCCTTAGTGAATGGTTGCCTTCAGGATACTTGATCTAGGGTGGGTTCACTGCTTAAACAACAACACATTTCTCAAGAATGGTATCACGTTAAAGCGGTCTTTTGTCTTCCTCATTTTTATTGGGGTATAAAAGTGTATGGAAAATAAACTTTGGTAAATTCAGCATTCAATATTGACTGAGTTGCCCTCCCGACTCTCTCCTACATCTATGCGATTCTTATCTCTTTTGCTCCTACCTAGCATTTTTAATCTTCACATCCCTACCCTGGAAAATATGGACCTGATGTGGTTAGGACCATGGCAGAATTCACCCTAAAATGATGGCCCATGATATAACACAAATATCGAGCAATGAGGTCACATATAGTCAAAACCCTGGGTTTAATCTTTAGAACTCACATAGGAAATGTATATAATAGCCAATTCTAAAGTGTCCTCTCGGTTCCACATACCATGACAAAGGTATATTCACACTAACATAGTTCAGACATTTTCAATAGAAGTTAAGAGAGCACAGAAAATAATTTATTGAGAACATGAAAATGGATTAGTAAATTTAAACTAATCTAGAATTTCAAGAGTATTAATGCTCATCAAACAATGGTGGTTTCTTTTCAAATCTCATTTCATTTTTATATTGTCAGATTTAAATATAAGTCATTTAAAAAAACATACCCCAGCTGGGTATTGTCCATTTCCGTAATGCCAGCACTTGGTAAACAATAGGAGGTCAATCTCATTGACTTTGAGGCCATCTTGTTCTTCATAGTGAGGTACAGGACAGTCATTGCTACCTGTAGTTAATCCTGTCTCAAAAAAAGTAAGAAAAAGCATAACTCAAATTATGCAGCTCTTCTTGATATAATCTGAGTAGAATCTGGTTTCAACAAAAGCTTAAAGAAGCTTTTGAGGCCAAGTTTTCAGAAAATGAAGGAAGATTGCTGGATGCTTATCTCTGGATGGCTTTGATGAGCTGGGACAGATGTAATGCAAGGAAGATACTGTAACCACTTGGTTTCTGAAAGTGTCCCCCACACAGCCTGGGCTGGCTTTATAAAGTTTCATTGGTTTGCATGAATGGTTTCCTCTCAGTTTTTACTTACTTTGGGTTTAAAAATATTTACAAGTTTTTTCCTTCCTATGTCTCCCCACTTTCCCACTGGTAACCGTTACCCATTTGAAGTATAGCTATAATGTTTGAGGCATATACACTATTGCACATCACGGAGGCAGTTTTCTAACTGGGCACACCTAGTGGGTAGAGCAGTGTGCCCGGTTGGCAGCATTTGTGGCTGCAGCCTCGTTCAGGTTGAGAGTCAGTTTTCTTTCTTGTGGTTAATATTTAAATCTGGTAGAGTCTTGGTTCTCACAATAAACTCACCTGCAGCAGTAGATTAATGAAAAAGGATCTGTGCTTGAATTGAGTTGATTGACCGATGTTAAAGAAGTATAGTCAAAACACAGGAGGGGAGGGAGAAGAAGGTAGATGAAAACATTCCCACTTTTACCATAATTAATTAACATTAGAAAAGAATAGTGAGGTAATCAGTTTTAGATGCTCAATAAATGTTCTGGCTGGCCATTTCTTGCATCCATAGACTAGGCAATCAGGAACTGGGATAAAGAAATGAACTTATCATGAAACTGTGTTACTGTAGCTACACTAGTTATACCAAAATATAAGAGCAAGAGAAAATAGGGTTGCCCTGCCTAACAGAGTTGTTATTTTCCAGGTTTAAGATGTTCAGACTGAGAGAAAAAAGGTATAAGCAAAAGTTCAGTTGCTCTAATACAAATCTCTAGTCTATGGAGAACATGGCCACAAAGCCTGTTCCAACACCTTAAAATGATTTTTGGAATTATAATTTCACAATTCTCACCATGTCTTTTGTGCATCCACGTTCTTCCATAGAGCCATCATTGTTTTCTAATTCCTGATCTCTTTTTTAACAGCAGTTATACTGTTTGAATATGAACTGTGTTTAGTTTCAGGACTTTGCATTTATTAATCAGAGGGTTGGTTGCTCCAGACAGTGACTGTGGAACCACAAGGGACACCATATTTTAGAAGAAGCAACAGGAAGTGCTTTGAGAGAATGTAAGAATTTCTTATAAAATATAAAGTTCCCAGACTAGATGCCAGTCTTTTTTTAATATTTATTTATTTATTTATTTATTTATTTATTTATTTATTTATTTATTTATTATGTCCGTGTGTATCTCTGCAAGCCAGAAGAGGGCACCAGACCTCATTACAGATGGTTGTGAGCCACCATGTGGTTGGTGGGAATTGAACTCAGGACCTTTGGAAGGGCAGGCAATGCTCTTAACCACTGAGCTATCTCTCCAGCCCTAGATGCCAGTCTTAACATTGACTGGAGGGAAAGCCCTGGGAAAGTTTGTGCTGTCTGAGTCATTTGATCTCTGCTCATCTAGTAGTGGAGCGGCTATTCTCCTGAGGTCAAACTGGGTAGCACTAGTTAATGCAGAACTCTGGGAATGCCTAACTTTTAGGAATCCCAGTGGGAGATAGATTGTGGGTTCAGTCTAGGATGCTTCTCTACTGCAGCTCTAGGGAGCTATGAAGGAAAACGTAATCCATGCTGTGGTGAGAGGGAGGGCATTACCTTCTGATGTGGAGAAAATTGGCCAAGCTGTCAGATCACATGGGAGGTGGATAGAATGAGAACCAGAGTTTGGTTCTATTGGTCCCTGTGAGTTTCCTAAAGGTTGTCTTTTTTGGAAGAAGGAGGAGGAGGAAGAGGAAGAGGAGGAGGAGGAGGAGGAGGAGGAGGAGGAGGAGGAGGAGGAGGATTATAAATATTGTATTGTGATTGTTTCTTTTTTATTTTTTTCATTTTAAATACCAACCACATTTTCCCCAACCCCTTCTGTCTTATTTCTTGAGTTCTATATATATATTGGAGATTAACCCTCTTCAGATGTGAGGTTGGTGAAGATATTTTCCAACTATATAGACTGTCATTTCATCTTATTTACCATGCCCTTTGCCTTACAGAAGTTTTTCAGGTCCAGGAGGTTGTTGATTGTTGTTCTCAGTGTCTGTGTGATTGGTGTTGGATTTTGTGAAATGCTTTTCAGCATCTAATGAAATTGTCATGAGTGCTTTTCCTTTCAATTTGTATATGTGTTGGATTGTATTAACAGATTTCCATATGTTAAAATATCCCAGTGTCTCTGGGATGAAGCCTACTTGTTCATGGTTGAAGATTTGTTCATGTGTTCATGGATAGTTTTTGTCAGTATTCTATTGAGTATTTTTTTATCCACTGGTTTAAAGTTTGAAAGATTTAGTGCATTATCAAAGACAATTATCACATGTACTTACTCATAGGTGGTTTTTAAACATAAAGCAAAGAAAACCAGCCTACAAGCCACAATCCCAGAGAACGTAGACAAAAATGAGGACACTAAGAGAGACTTACATAGATCTAATCTACATGGGAAGTAGAAAGTAGAAAAAGACAAGATTTCCTGAGTAAATTGGAAGCATGGGGACCTTGGGGGAGGATTGAAAGGGGGAGAGGCAGGGTGGGGAACAGAGAAAAATATAGAACTCAATAGAAATGTATTGAATGGAGAAAATGTGATATTTAACTCTACTTAAAATTAAATTTTAATCTCTCACTTCAATAAAACATTTAACAGCATTTATCATATTTAGTAGACACAAAATGTCAGGGAATACTTTCTAATTCTTGAAAAAAAATGTTAAATTTTGAATGTGTAAAATATTTATTTGATAACCAAAGTCACATCGTGTCTGTATGTTATCCAAAAGAAAAGAATCAAAAAGCATATGTTGACAGAAGTTTCTGTCTCACCCACAGCCATTCAGTCACAAAGAAACACACAGAGGTCTACATTAATTATAAACTGGTTGGCCTATTAGATCAGGCTTCTTATAATTCTTATAACTTGCATTAGCCCATAATTCTTGTCTGTGTTAGCCATGTGGCTTGGTACCTTTTTATCAGCAAGGCATTCTCTTCTTGCTTCCTCTGTGCCTGGCTTATTCTGTGATGAGTGCAACTGACAATTTCCTCTCATCGGAATTCTCTGTTCTCATCACCCCACCTCTACTTCCTGCCTGGTCACCCTACCTATACTTCTTGCCTGGATACTGGCCAATCAGTATTTTGTTAAAATAATACAAGTGACAGAATTCAAGACCATTGTCTCACAACACTTCTCACTTTTTTTCTAAAACAAGAACTCTAAACCTAATCTCCTTTGTTTAGCTTATTTTCCCAGAGCATTATCCACAGCAACTTGTAACCAACACTCTAAACAAAGATAAATATCCATAATTCATTTTGGGGGAATGTGGGCATAGTTTTCCAGGCTATTTCCTACTGAT